GTAATACAAGTTCTTGTTGTCAAAACGTGGAAGCGCTGGCCCTAGGAGTACTGACGTGATGATGAGTAGTACTTGAGATTGTCCTCTTCTTATTTGGATTCCAAATAACAATATCCGCATCAGAATCTACAGCAATGCGACCTTTCTGCGGATAGATATTGAATATTTTTGCAGCCATGGAACTGAAATTTTTCGTCATGTTCTCTTCTTGGAAGTACTCTAAATTCTTGAGAGCGTGGAAATAAGTGGACCCAGCTCACCAACTTGCTTAGCATTCACTATGGGTGACAGCTGAGTAGGCGCAGTTCGGCGCGGCGGGGGAGGGGGGGGGGGTTATTGCATTTTTGCCACTTCCCATCGAGCCATCTACAGAGCCATTTCATGAGCTTACAGGAGTTGACAGGTTTTACCATGGTGGCTCAACGAGCTTGCTCCAGCTTCACAAGAGTTCACAGGTTTCACCAGAGTGAGACTTGTAAACTGGAACTAGTGAAGCAACGAAAGTGCACAATGCTCCTCTTCCCTCCGTCCCCCCCCCCGCCGGACGGGCTGCGCCAGTTAGGTGTAAGGCGCTTTCGAAGAAATTTCGTGCAAATACACCCACCTTGTTATCTTCACGAAACGCATTGGATTAATTTTCCCTGTGTGAACTCCACGATCCCATACTACACTCATACGATCCTCAACGCCGTTAACACCGTTGGGAATTTTCGTGAAATCATGACGGCCGCTCATTCTTTGTTCGGCGTTGAAGGTGCAGTTGTCAGTTCCTGTCAGGTGCAGTTGGTCACTGGAAACCACTGGTTGGTAAAAAAAATTGCACTCTCCTCTGCTAAACATCCAGAACTCACGCGGCTAGCATGTCCATAAGTTTCTCTGGTGTTGACTTATCGACACTAAGCGGTGGGGACATGACGTATCTGGCGGCATGAAGCCAATCCTTGAAGAGAAAAGTGAATGCGCCATGATTTTATCAATTTTTAAAAACTCACTTTGTCGTAATAGTGCGTACCGTCAAGTGCTAAACCAAGCGCTATAAGGCGCTCGCCAAAGATTACGTGGCCCTGTAATGTTCTATGTTATTTTTATTGTATTGTGGCAACGAGAAAAATTCATGACATTTCTCTGAATTTTTAAAGCTTATGTTTTTCAAAGTAACGCAGTCCTGTCGCTGAGGCTGTGTTCATACCTTTTGCAGGCAGCGATCCACCCAGCGCGTTCACCAGCGACCATTGACGTAGCGTCAGCAGCAGCGAACTAGGGAATGTAACTAGACATCGATATCGGCCTCTACCAGGTCACCACGTCCTACCAGCTTCTGCTAGCCTCCACCAGCGACCAGCAGCGTCTTGAGGGCTAGGAAAGTATAAGTATCGATCTAGCGTGTGCCACCCAACGTCCACCTGTGTTCACCAGCGACCGGGAGCGGAGAGAAAGAGAAGTAGTTAGGGGTAAAACAAAACAGTTCGGTATTAGACGTCGTTGAATTTGCGGCATGTGCAACCGCACCGCACATCTGCTAAAGCACAGAATTGCGCAATACAATGTACGGCATTGTGTAGTAGTGCGGTGCACACGCCACAGCTCGCGATGGCTAATGAGGCTGTTTGTACCTTCCTTACTTCGCTACTCTCTTGACTCCGTGGTGGTCGCTTGGGTGAACGCGAAGGTGATGCTGGTAGACGCCTTAGTCAATACTATACTTCCTGATCGCTGCGCTGCCGGAAAGCTCGGAACGCTAGTGGTCGCTGATAGACGCTGGTGGGCGCTGCCAAAAAGTATGAGTGCAGCCTGACCTCAAACTTATTTGGAAAGCGTGAAATTTGAAAGGGGACCTTGTTCACGATGATTCGCTATGGCTTTTGCTGCTCCTTTCGACATCACATGGACGACGTAGAGGGGACAATTGGCCTGCGATGCCATCGTACAAGCTCGATTAGTTGCCTCAGCTTCCAGCTAAAACTTTTCATAGCAAAATCCACAGTCGAAAAGAAAGTGCTCCCGATATCCAGAGTTGACCGCACCTCTTCTGGGCCGACTTTGACGATGACCTTCTGGACCAGTGATACCTTTCTTCAGCAACATTTTCGCCCTTTCAGCGATCACGGAACCGTTCTCAGCATGAACTCGAGCTAGTGCCCCAATTTTGGAACATTTTAACATCGCTGAAATTTCTATCGATCTCACTTGCTTCTTCATCCAGTTCTCACTGATAAAGTAGTAAAAAATAAATTAGTAAAGCAACTTAAAAAACCTGATCTTCACTAGCTTTTGCAGCTGGCGAGCGACCACAATCGGTGGAAATGGGACTAAAGCCACGCCAGACCCACCCCCTCCCCTTCCCCCTGTATGAGTCTCACGTCAACAAAGTCGGTAAGGTAGCGGCGGTAAAGCACAAGGTTGCTCAAGTGACTCCGCCCACAGTGATAGATGTCTTATCTATGCTCTCCTTCGTTTGCATGCTCTCTCGCTGTTTTCTCTGGCCTCTCTCTCGACATCCACAATGATTTTTGCCATTCACGCGGTACAAGTAGTGCCATATTTTAGCCTCAGCAGCTGAAGTATTCTCGATGGTTTCCTTCCCTTTTTTGTTCACGAGAGAATCAACTAGCACATACGATTCCGCTAGCTCATCGCGAAGTCTGCCTTATAAGGTTCTCACGGGCAGAATACGTTGGCAAATATGCCCCAAAGGGCAATTGCTGGTGACACCTATGGGACCAAAACTGGATCCTCACAGTACTCTGCGTCCCTTTCTACATCAAGGCCTATACCTCGAACAACGGCTAATCGCTGCAATGTTCAGCTCTGCTACGTCAACCCTGACCAAGTCCTATATGTCTTCTTCCTCGCTGATCCATTACACATTGCTGGGAATGCAGGTAGTCCTGTTTGCTGCGGATGCTGGGGGAAGGGGAGGGGGTGTTCGTTGCAGTCCACACTACCTCTCCGCACTATGAGCTCAGACAGTTATAACAGAATGAGCTCCGCCTTTACGTTCACCAACGCCAAGCTCGTCACGAACTGAGACAAAATGGCACAAAAGTACGAATTTTTAAGGAAATAAGAAACAAGGAGCGAAATTCTCTGTGACGATTTACCTTGATAGAATTCCTCATCACGGACCATGTAAGTTCCCATGTAGGCCAAGAAAAATTTGAAAGAGTTAATACCTAGAAGTTTCGTTTATGAAGGTTGAGCATTGTTTTGACTGATTGATAAAATTTTGTTTAC